GGATGAAGAAAGAACTGTCTTCACCTTAAGGGAGTTACACTCAACCAGGCAAGTATACTTCATTTAAGTAAATTTCATAATCCAGAAAGGCATAGGCACAATAGGTAGTGCATGGTGGGAACATGGAACCCAACTCTGAGGGTATCGAGAAGGCTTCATGGGAGAGATAGCAGCATAGTCAAGTTTAAAATGCCTACCTCTACTTGCCATCAGGCAACACAGAAATTCTTTCTACTTAGTGTTTGCAATCATTTCAACCATGTAAACATTTCACTGCTCTTAGTAAAATTGACTCTGTGTTTGGGGACCAGAGCTCACCAGCTAGAGAAGTCGGGATGCCAAGGGAAGTTGAGCTTGAGGATAAACACAGAATTGAGCCTAGTAACCTGGCAGAATGCACTGTATCTCCTTAGGACCAATAAGCTTTAGAAGAATAAAGGGACAAACTGCAATAATCAAAAATATACTAAATACATGTCATATTGTATTAATATAATGTATCACATGCTATGCATAATACATACACTATGTATGCATACCCATAAACTGTATGTGGTCCCATGTACAGTATTACATTTTTGTGTCCTCAAGGATGTGTGTTTTCAGATAACAAGTAAACACCTTACATTTACTCCCTGGATAAATGATGAGCAGAAATTAATCCATTATTATTATTTTTCTTTCTTATACTGGATGCAGTTAGTGGAATTCCAGTAAATTAAACACATGTAAGCTAACTCCATTACAGCAAACCCTACTTAAAAGGGAGAAACTGTTGCCTGAAAATCTGCATTTTGCAGTGCTATGTAGTCCTTACAATGTGTACATCCAAGAGTCCTCTCCTGTACTTCATTAAAAGTGCTTACTTATTTATTATATAAAGCTGGAAGAGAATTATATTCTGGTTGCTTCCTTGTGCTGAGAATAAAACAGAAGAACATTTACAGAAAAGAGCTGTGGATCCAACAAGGAAAAAAGTAGAGCACTGCTATCCAACAAAACTTTCTGCAAGCACAGAAATGTCCATTTCTGCGTCCAAAACAGTAGCTATCAGCTATGTGTGGCTACTGAGCACTTGAAATAAGGCTGCTATGACTGAGGAATTGAATCCTTAGTTGAACTGATTTAAACATACACGGACACATTTGGCTACTGGCTATCATACAAGACCTGTTAAGTCTTGAGCCAGACTAAATGTTGTAAACACAAAACCCACATGGCCCATATTCACATTTAAGGCTTATCGTCTTTGGCCTTTACCATGTTTAAAAAGTGAGAGTCAACATTAGGAATACAGAGATTCAAAAAAAGGAAATTTCTCAATTTTAAACATCTCTTGAAAAGGTTTTGTAGTAGTGGACCAGGATTCCTGGATGATGACAATTGGCCAGGGCTCAGAAGCAATGGATGGACTTCTGGCTAAATGTGGGACAGTGTCTCGTCATGATTCAATGTGTCTACATGTTATGAAGGGCCACCTCTTTTAATTTATTACCTGCCTGGTCCCCACTGATATTTGCATATTATACCCTGGTCAGTCCAATATGTGATCCCTTGTAATGCTGAATGGCATTAGTTGAAGTGACCAGGGAACTTCCTATTTGGGGTCTTTCATCTTAGCAAATGATGGGCATATTTAACCCTATGAGAAGTCAGAGAAAATCCTTCCCATTTAAAAAATGTTATTAATACTTCCTCAGGGCAACCTCTTTCAGCACCAACGGCAATTACGACAAGACTGAATACTAATTAACCTTTAAATACAGGCTTTGGGGCTCAGGCGGGAAGATGCAAAAGAAAGAATAAAATTCTCAATTAAACCCTAAGATGAGTAATTTCTCTTGAGAATTTCTGAACTTTTGGATTTCTAATATGGCCCATTAAGAGTTCTTTTTACCCAGTGGGAGAATAACATAACAAAGACAAGCTCTCTCATCAGAAAAGTTTGCCTCAGTCTACAAGAAAGGATCTGGGCTTTCAAAAGGATATTCCTTTACAAGACTCTTAGACTTTCTCTGAATCTTAGAGAATGTGTTTGTGTTGCCTTTAATTTACATTTTCACATGAACTGTTAATTTCCTCCTTGATATCTTTCTTTTACCCTCCCTTCCTCCCTCCCCTCATTCTTTCCTCCCTCCTTCCCTTCTCTCTCTCTTATCTATGTGCTTGTATTTATAAATATTTACAAAAACATATCCTTTCTCTAACTTAATGTAAAAAAAAAAACAACATGTTAGATGACTCAGATGGAAAAGAATCTGCCCGCAATGCAGGAGACTCGGGTTCAATCCCTGGACTGGGAAGATTCCCCTGGAGAATGAAATGGCTACTCACTCCAGTATTCTTGCCTGGAGAATTTGATGGACAGAGGAGCCTGGTAGGCTACAGTCCATAGGATGGCAAAGAGTTGGACACAACTGAGCAACTAACACTTTCTTTCACTTTCAAAGTCATTACCTATTTGCACTATTTATTCATAATTTTTAAAGGGTAGCAGAAAATAAGAGCCAGCAAGTGTATTTTCTTCTGAAACAGGTAAAAGAATAATGCAGGATATTACTTGGTTGACTATTAAAATCAAAAACTAGGAGAAAAATCAGGCCATAAGTGAAGGTAGTGTCTAAGTAGATGAGGTTATAATTACAACCCACTATAGTCTATAATCCCATATACTCATCAGCTTAATTACTTATTCAGATAACATGGATAATAAGGAATCATTGCTTATTATAGGAAAGCCTAATATTTTCACAGTGAAAAGAAGTTTCCTCATGCTTTTTCCATGTCTCAATTTCTAGTAACTCTAAAGTGAAATTTTATACTGGTCAGAAGTCTTAACTTCAGAGTATCTTTAGAGCTATAATGAAAGTGTTTTCTATTTGCCTATAAACCAAATATTTTAAAACAATACCTAGCATGTAAAATTTCTTCATTTATCAAACTTAAACTGATTAATTAATTTCAGTCAGACATCTCCTATTTTCAGGTACAGATTTGTTTTTAAATGCAACGTACAGTATCTCAGGACATATAATAAAACATAAAAAGTACTGTGCAAATGGCAGAACTTTATCAACATTTTATACATTTTATCAGTTTATTTAAACACATATATCATGTCTATACAATAGCATTTTGTAAATACCTGGTATTTTAATTGCATTTACTCTAATTGTAATATACTGGAATTAAAATAAGTACCTGATAAATAAATAAACACAACAAAAAGATATTTCTGAATTTCTAAGCTCAAGACTTCTTGCTGTTTGATTAAACTTTACCAACATAATTAATCTATTCATTTAGAAATAAAATCCTATATGACTATATCTTATATCTTGACAAGTTTCCAGCCGAACACATTCATTACCAAATTATTCACAAGATAAAATGCCAGGAAATAACTTTACTGACAACAACCAAAAAACAAAAAAAAAAACCAGCCCACGCATGAGTCATTCACATGGATTTTTTTTTTTTCACATGGATTCTTTAAAATATTTACAGTCATATCTAAAAGGATAATCTTCTATTTCAGGAAGAAACAAACAGATGCATTTAGAAAGCGTTAGAAGTCCTACAAAAACGCTGGTGAAAATATTTCCAAGATAATGTCCTATTATCCTGTTCATCTTCCCTCCAAAGAAGAAAATATTTCCACCTGTTGTATGTACTGTGTCTGATTAACTGACCAAGCTCACAAAATAGTTTCTTGTTCTATTTTAAATCATGTTAACAACTTTTATCATTTCTATAGGTTAAGGAAGAGGCAGAGAGAAGAAAATCTTCTATCACCTCAGCCAATTCTGACCAGTAACCAGGATCATTACAATTATTGTGCTGAAAATACTCAACAGGTGCTCAATATATATGCTGTTGAATACTGCTGACAGAAACTGACCTTTACTTGCAAATGCAAAAACACAAAGGTCTACTTTCTAACCTAAGGTTGACCCAGGTTAACAATGATTGTTGGCTGCTATTATCAACATGGGTTAAGAGAACAATAGGAGTTCAATAAGATCTATATCACTACTCAAAACACTAAGAATTTCATTAATAAAGGCTGAAGTCTGCTTGTTCTTCAGGTTATAGAAAAAGTTTTGCCAAGCGAAGGAGATTGTAAACAGGGAGTTTGAAACAAACGCTTGCAGTACTCAAGAGCATGCTGTTTTCAAGGTGCCTCAGGCACTTTCTCATAACCATTTAAATAAAAGCAGCATATCGTGTTTATAAATAATTCATCTCTTCATTAAAGTGGGTCCCCTGAGAACCCTAAAATAAAAACCGCTAATCCTGTATTATTTAATAAAGTATATATCCATCACATCCAAATAAACTATCATCACCTCCCCAAATATTATATTTTTATCTTAAGGTGATGAGAGTTCAGTTTTTTTTTTCTTTTTTCCCTTATACCTTTCTGTGTTGTTGGAAGGTTTCTAGTGAAGAAGTTATTATTTATATTATTTGAAAAATTTATACTTTCACATGAAAAAAATACAATTTATTTTCTCTTTAAGAATAGTTAGTATGACTTTAGTAGGGATGTATTTTATTCTTCTACACTGTATGAACCTTCTAACACATACTCAGTACAATAATAAAGGAAGAAGGATAGATGCTGTTACCTTTTTCTAAAACTGTGACTGCTACATACTTTTACAACATAATTTCATCTGCACAATGGATGTGTTCCCAAAGACTACATGTAAATCCAAGTTTATACATTAATTTCTACCACAAATCAATGAAAAGACATTGCTTATTTAAGAGACTCTATCATGTTTTCTTTAATCAAGAATTCTTACTGTAAAGTAAACAATCAAATATACAAAATATGGACCCAAATGTTTAGGGATGACTGTTGAATATAGCAGACAACTATAGCTTCGTGTACTATAACTTACTGATAGCATAAGTATACTGAAACAAAAAAATAAGTTTACAGTTGCCAAACTGCTTTTTCTTTATATGGACTTCCAAACTTTCCACTGTACCTGTAATGAGGTGAAGGGCTGCCTCGTGCTTCACAATTTAAAGTTATTTTTTTATCCTCTGAGCCAACGGGAAAAATGCTGTTGCTGGGTTCTTTGACAAACACTGGGCCCTGTAAGAGCAGCTCACCTATATGGGTAGAAGACATCCAAAAAATAATCATAATAAGTAAAAGGTACTGTATCAGCTGCACTCTAGAATTAAAGAAGAAAAGCAACCAACCAGTGTCTCTAGTGCTGTTTTAAAACAAAAGGGAAGCAGACACTGCTTCTTCCCTTATCCACAAAGATGTGGGTTCTTTGTGGACAGACTCTTTCTTTATCCACAAAGAAACTCTGCAGGCACCACGTTGTTTACAAGGCATCACTGAAGCTGTCCTTGCAACCTAGTAACACTTCTAAGAGAATGAAAACTACTCTCAAAACCACTGCCATATTAATAAGATTACTTAAAAGAATAAATAAGGCTGTACTAATCACTTTTTATAACATAAATTCTACCTAGATTATCATTGGTTAATTACCTGGTCTAGGAAGTCTTTCTGTCAGAAGCCTCTTTACAAAACTAAAGCTGTATTCAAAATCACTTGATTCCCTGAGTATTGTCTTTCTCATAATACTTGCCATGCATGCAAATCTGAGTGTTGACAATGTTATTTTGCATTCCGACCTCAAAATGCTCAATATTTGGTAGGATTTCCATTTGATTACTAGCAAATTGAAGAGAAGGATACAACACGGAACAAGTGTCCTTTAAAAAGTGCTTTTACTTTGGTTAAGAGAACTTGAACTTTCTGAGAATTTCCACATATATACAACTAGAAACTTGTGTCTTTGTATGATGAATTTAAAAAGGAAAGAAGTAATGGCATCACTAACAGCTTATGCCACTGCTACTGTATAATCATTGGCAGAGCATTCTGAAAACAAACTTGTTCACAGGAAAAAATAAAAACACAACCAAACTCCTTACTCCTGTCTTGAAATGCTCAGTAAAACTGCAGGAAAAAAATAAATAAATAACCAGACTAAGAGACAAAGAGAACCCCTGAAGAGATGACAAAGAAAATGAGATGTAAAAGCATTAAAAAAGCCTAGAAACAATTTAGGCTACCTAAGTAGTAATAACATTATAACATTAACAAAAAATTTCCCATATTAACAGGAATGGTAAAATAACACACTACTGAAAATAATCATTGAAATGATGAAAAAGCTGCAATGAAAGTCACCATGTGAATTCTATGTGTCCACATCTGTTCTTTAACATTCACAATGTTTTGTGAGGTAAGTACCGTAATTATTCCCAGTGTACAGAAGAGAAGTGTTGAGTCTAAGAGTGAGTATATGAAACAGGCAGGTACACACAGCTTTTCGGGATGTGCAATTGATGATAGAAGTGGCAGTCTGGGAACTGTGCAGTCAAACTTCAAACTCTGGCTAACGCTGAGCACTCTTCCACTGAAACATCACCACACAGTTAACCCTTACTATGGCCCACAATGATTTAAGAAAGTCGTGGGTTGTCCTCCGAAGTCCCTGTTTTTTATTTACATATAAGGGGAAAATGTCACAAGGGGGAAAAACGTCTTACTTTTCCTTTGGACCATCTCCTGAAGACAGGGATTTTGAAACAGGTACTAAACAGATGGCTCTTAATTAAAAAGAGCCAATGCTGTCATTTTCTTGAATTTTCCCCCTCAGTTTATTGCATAAAAGTAAAAAAGAAAAAAAAAAACAGTGTATCATTAATAATATTTATTGTTTTAGAAATTTGAAAATATTTCTGTCTGTTACAATGTCTGCCTGTAAATATTTACAAAGAAGATAGATTTTTTCATAGTATTTTTTCTAGCGCAATGGCTTCTGAATATTTTGAGTGGCATATATTTTATTCATCTAGGAGATGGTATAGCACTGTTGTCCTGACCAACTGATGTTCACAGGGCTTGGAAGCAATAATATATTAACATAATAGTGTACATCTGAAACCAACAGGTAAGTTGGGGAAGGAAACCAACAAAAGGAAAATTGGGTATAGATAAAAAGGGTGATTTCAATGAAAAAGACAGGTGTTTTTAGAGAATCAACTTACAGTTACTAGGGTGAAGAAGGGTAAGAATAGATTGGGAGTTTAGGATTGATATGTACACACTGCTATATTTAAAACAGATAAGCAACAAGGACATACTGCTAAAGAAAGATAAATAGAGGTATTTTTAAAAATTTTCCTACAAGTGACCACAAGGAAAACACAAACATTCATCATAATTTAGTAGAAGTCAAATTCCCAAATGATGTTCTAATTCTTCTCTAGAGACTGCTATTAATTTAAGGTGGCAGTATTAAATAATTAGAAGCATTTCTTTCTGAGACCCTTTTGAAAGAGGGGTGATAATAGCTAACTTGCTAACATTTATGAGCCAGGCACTGTACTCGGCCATTTACAAGCCTTGTCTCCCTTATTCCCAGGCTGCATTTGACCCATTGCCTACTTTCTGAGGTCCAGCTGCACCATCATCCTTGTCTTTGGCTCTCAGACAGGCTGAAATTTGGGTTGACCTTCCTTCTTATTCTTGTGTTCTGGTTTCCTTTTGTCATTCAGAGCTCAGCATAAATGTCATCTTCTCAGTTTAAATAAGACTGCCCCTCCCCTAACTATGTCATGACTCACCCCTCACTTCTACCAGTCACAGGCATGAGCTGTGTATCTCACTATCTATAAATATTAGACACATTTATATAAGTGCTTGCCATTTATTTTGTATCTAATTCATTGCTGCTCCTCCAACTCTGAGCATGGCAGCTATTCAATATCTGTCTGCTGAATGGATGATTAAGATGAAGAAATTCTCACAATAACTCAACATAAGACAGATACTATTTTACAGCTGGTGAATGATTAAGCTAAGATTTTAATTCCAGAGCTTATATTCTCACATTATAGTTGTTTAGCCTCCCCAGAAGAAATGAGACCCAGAGAGGTTAAATAACCAACCACGGTAACACAGTTTTTGGCTGACAAACCTGGGATCACAGCCCAGTGGTTATATTCTTGGTTTGTTTCTCTTTCCATTAAACCACACTGTTCTAAATTGGGTCAAAGGTGAAAAGTAACCATCAGCTTGCTTTGTCAGCTTCAGTATTTCCTGATGATGGTCTTCCCAGGTGGTGCTAGCGGTAAAGAAGCTGCAATGCAGGAGACATGGGTTCAATATTTGGGTCGGGAAGATCTGCTGGAGAAGGAAATGGCAACCCACTCCAGTAGTCTTGCCTGGGAAACCTCACGGACAGAGGAGCCTGGCAGGTTACAGTCCACAGGGTCACAAAGAGTTGGACACAACTGAGCAATTGAGCACACAACATTTCCTGACGACACGCTAGAGTTAACAGCCTCTGAGGCACATACCAGACACGTCTGAAATGTAAGGCTCCTAAAGGCATTTCAGACCACCAGCAGCCATTCCAGAGTCTCCAACGACTCCTAAAATGTAAGTGCAAATAATAATCAAACATGACAGGTTGGTTCATGCTTTACATTCAGAAAAGAGACATGGGCCACTCAATCTTGTTTCCCTGGAATAAAATCAGTGATGAGAGATGCTGGGTTATAATATTCTAGTCTCCTGCTAGCAATATAAGCTTAAAAGGAAAAAAAATTCTGAGGTCTTCACTAACCTAAAGGAAATTATCCAACAGTTTCTTCAAAGCTAATTTTGATCCTCCAAAGTACAAAACCTTGACTATTCACACAGATACTCCTAAGCAGCAGAAAGCAGTTTGACTGAAAACAGAAGGGGGCTTCATGCCTAACTAAAGGGATTCAATGTAACATTTAGATTGATGCTAAACTTTACTTTTTGTGACAGGGGCATTTTTTGATATGTTGGCCTGACTCCCAAGCTCCATTTAAGTTTACAACCGAAAATAAAGGGTATATAACATTTCCGAACAGGACTAATAAGTTGAAAAATCCAATCCTGAGGTGTTTTTTTTTTTTTTCCCCCAAACACCCAGAGGCTACGAGGAATAACTGCCTTTGAATGTAAGTACAAGCTTTATGAGCTCCTAAGGTAAAGTCACTAAAAGATCAAACTGTGGCAAATCAATTCTAATGGTCATACTCTATACAATTTTTATGAAGAATGACAAAGAGAAACAAAGGATTGTAAGCAGTTGCATTACTTTTACTAGAAGAAATGAAAATTCTAAAAGACTGTAATGTTACTCCTGAAATTCACACAGAAAAGGAAAGCATATTCACCATTTCCCCTTGCAGACTTGCAGCATAGCTACACAGCACAAAACAGGAGGAAATGAAGAAGGGCAATCCAAAAGGGAGCTAGGATAGTAGTGCTATTTAAGGAAGAATTTAAGAGACGGTGGATCTAGAAAGGAATATTCGATGTACTTAGGAGAGATACCCAACCCAAACAGAAGGATATCTAGTGCAAGTCAGAGAAAGAAAAAAAATATATGCCACCAATAATATGAGATCTATATAACAAGCCCTACTATTCCACAGGAAAGGAAATTTAAGATACAAAGAAACACTTTGTAGCAGTGGGACATCACCATTGACTTTGGCATTGGTGGCTTACAGCTAGAAAATGCTAGGGAAAAAAAGGCAAGAAATGATTGAAATACAATTTCATTAATATTCTTCCAAAGTCAGGAAAGGCCAAAAATTCCAATATGATAATTTATTTCTTTAACAAATATCTGAATACCAGACATGTGCACCACATGAAAAACTAGCTGTGGCAGATACTGTCGGTTGTCTACGCAACAGTTCTTCTGTAACTGTTTTCCCTGCCAACAGAACCTGCCTTTCACCTGAGATATGAAAAGCACCAGATATAGTACCTTTCCAGACCTCTGTAGTTTCTGCCTGGGGAGCAGGGTAAACAGCGGGGATTAACTTATGAGACCAGTAACACCCACAAAGGGGTATATTAGTTTGCTAGGTCTGCCATAACAGAGTACCACAAACTGGGTTGTTTAAGAAACAGAACTTAACTCATCTCATAGTCTGCTGCTGCTACTGCTAAGTCACTTCAGTCGTGTCCAACTATGTGCAACCCCATCCCTGGGATTCTCCAGGCAAGAACACTGGAGTGGGTTGCCATT